GGAACAATCCCGACCAGATTGCCGGTGGAGTCGGGTCAACTCCAGGACATAACTTTGTCCCGAAACAAAACGAAAGTCGGCGGATCTCCTGCGGTCGTCAACGGTGTGTGTCTGAGAACACTATTGCTCACTTTAAATACAAACTCCGACTGCGATCTTCGCATGCTGAATTTGAAGACTCAACTCAAAGATAAAAAGGTCAGATTGCGTCGAAGATCACATATATGTTTAGAAGCACTCGAGATGCTATGAACTTTAAATGTAGATTATACTTTTCCCTAGGCCCTCATGAATACGCAGTTTAAATTGCGATGCTTATATCCAGAAGTAGATGGCAAGTGTGCCAAATTTCAAGAAAGTATCATACCAATTTACTTGAATAAAGTACAACCCTAAATACCTTTATTCTTCTCATCGCAGCAAGGTTCTGAACCAAAAAATCATTAAATAGGTAAGAATAGGTAATTTTGGGAACAAGCTGATTATTGAGTCACTTCATTTAAAAACTGAACGTGCAAAAGTTGGCTACACTGGCAGCTCAAAATTTCTCATTAATGTTGTGGGACTCTCATCAGATCTGGCTTCGATCTAATTATTTCTGCGCCTTTAATAGCAAATGTTTCAATGCCATCTTCGACTAGCTTCTCCATTGTTTTCTGCATGCTTTTCTAAAAAATATTTTTTCCACAAGATCTTCTAATTTTATATGATTTACCTGTATACGCTTCGTTAATTCTTTCTGCGCACGTTTTTTATCGACTGGCTTTATCTCCAGATCGAATGGATAATTCTTCTAAGACCAATCCATAAAAGGAAGAGAGTAGAAGTATTAGACTTACCGATTTCGCTATTTCAGGGGCAATATCATCGATTCTGATATTCTCTGCTGCCTCTGCCCATGACTCCAAATCAAGTGCTGTACAAACAAAAACAAATGACAGAAATATGAGCGGGATCAACTTTGAAGGCATCTAAATGGTTCGAAAGCTTAGCTGAAGCAACATCGTTTGCACAAGAAAAGTTTATATATGGAGGTAGCAAGTTGATAAGAATGACTCCTCACCAATCGTATGGATGGAGACTATAAGAATAATTCGACTCAAAGTTATCCAGTCAAGTGATGCAGTGAGTGATAAGCCATTATAAGCTGTTTTTGTACACGCAAGAGCAAGTTCAAAGTATTCTCCAGCAGCAACAGAAGTTATCGTGTGCGCGTGATAACATCAAGATCAAGACTTATAATAACGGGCTAAGGTTGTTTA